CTACAAACCACAAGGTATGATTGTGACACTGTGACATTGAGTGCTAGAGTAATGAGATTGTCACATTTTTTTCAGCTCCTCTAAGTGACAAAAGAGCCCAGGAGATCATAGATGAGGCTCTGGAGTCCTGCAGTCTGGACATGAGGAACCTCGTGGCCGTCATCACTGGTCTCATGGGCTCCGGGAAGACGTGGCTCCTCAGCCGTCTCTTCAACCAACTCCCTCCAGAATTCTACACCAGTACTGGAGTGGCAGAACAGTCGCTTCGGAGCCTCCTCCACCACATCATCAACATCTCCGCTTCCAGCTCCTGGGAGCCTTTCTCACGCATGCAGATCCTGAAGTTCCTGGCCTGTGTGTTCCATAGGAAACCTCTGCCTCCTCTGGAATCTATCGCTTCTAAAGTTTCAGTAGCAACCACAGCCCTTTCCGCTAGTGCTTCACCCTCCCCCACCCTCCCTGCCCCACTTCCATCAACACAGAGCTCCACAATTCAGTCCATGGTAAGGCTGGTGAAAGCCCCGAAGAGCTCACAGAAGCTTTCAATGCTGGAGCTAGTCCACATGATAGACACTGGAGGGCAGCCGGAGCTTCTGGAGAACTTGCCCAGTCTCATCCACCACTCCCACCTTGCTATACTAGTCCTGAATCTCATGTTTGGCCTCGATGAGCATCCCTCCATCGACTACCACGAGGAGGGAGAGGCTTACAAGCGATCTTTACCTTCCCAGTACTCCAACAGGCAGATCATACAGAAGCTTGCGTCCACCCTGCAAGCCAAGAGGTTCTCACAGCAAAAGGGCCAGTGCTGCCAGCTACTGGTAGTGGCAACACACAGAGATTGTGTGCCAGAAGGTGAGCTCCCGGCTAGGGTCAAAGCATTCGACCAGGCCCTGAGGGCCGTTCTACTGCCGTCCAACAACGAAGAGCTCATCTGCTTCTCAGCCAATCAGATTCCGTTTGTCCTAAACCTCAAGGATCCTGACGATGACGACACGGAGAGGCTGGATCTCATCCGCAGTAAGGTCAGCGAGAGTGAGGCGGGAGAGGTGGTCAAGACACCAGGGTCCTTTCTGGTGTTCGAACAAGAACTGATGGAGTTTGCGAAACAGACTGTCGACAGAGACATCCTCAGCCTTGACGAGTGCCTAATGATAGGAGCAAGGCTCAAGATGAAGCCAGAGGTGGTAGAAGCTGCCTTGATCTTCTTTCACCGCCAGTTCACACTCCTATACTTTCGCCACATCCTCCCCAATCTTGTCTTCACGAGGCCCCAAACACCGCTCGAGTGCATCAATGCTGTCGTGAGGTTCAGCTACAAGGTGGGCTCTGGGGAAGTGAAGGGGGTGACAGAGAAACTGGTGTCATCTCTGAGAGATGGTATCATCACAGAGGAAATCCTGAGCCACAAGCAGCTCACCCAATGCTTTATTCCAGGCCTGTACGAGCCTCGTGATGCAATGGATCTTCTCTGCCACACACTCACACTGGCTCCATTGAGTCGTGAGATTCAGTCAACATCAGGCGCCAGTCCAGCTACCACCGGCCTACCAGGTCCCCGTGTCAAGAGAGAGAAGAGAGAGTATCTGATGATGAGTCTCCGATCAGCCATTCCCGACAAGGACATCCCACAGCACCTCCCCCCGCCCTCAGAGATAGCTCCACTGGTGGTCCAGTTCACCAACAACTGTGTCCCCCTCAGCTGCTTCTCCAGGACCATCTCCTGCCTCATGGCCGTGTACGACTGGAAGTTGAGCAGAGCCGACGATGGATCCCCGCAGTGCCTTGCTCACAACGTCGTCTCGCTCTACAAGCCTCACACACCTGGTCAAATTGTCCTAGTGGACACTGGCCACAGCTTTCAGATCCACATGCACGTTGATGGAGACACCGACCCAAGCTCCCTTTCGAAGCTCTGTTTCCAAGTCCAAGAAACGATCTTTGCAGCGATCAACCAGGTCTTTGATCTACTGGAGCTCGCCAAGATCGAAGTGACTCCTGCCTTCCTCTGCCCCTGCCCGAGACGGCCTCTCCCTCACACTGCCTCTGTCTACCGGTTCGAGTCCCAATGGCTTCTCCACTGCTCTGTGGGAGAGAAGGACGCTGGGGCAGCTCAGATTCGACATAAAGTGTGGCTGGATGCTCCATATGTGGAGCAAGAAAAACCGTCTCTTCCGAAACTTCTACGACTCAAGATACCGCAGAAGGTTGGGGCAAACTACATGCAGTTTGGGATTCTCTTGTTGAACGATGAAGATGGGACATTGGTCGAGGGACTCAGATGTGAGTACCAGGGTAGGTGTGAGGGGGTTGTGCGTGGGATTCTGATGGAGTGGGTGAGAGGGAAGGGCTCAGCCGTGACGTGGAAAACGCTGACCGACACACTGAGGGACTGTGACTGTGCTGCTCTCGCAGACCATATTGCTAGTACCAACTTATAAGAATCTTGTCTCGGTCCCCAGATATCATGCGCATGCGCTGTCATTCAAGCGCCCAGCGATATGCTGCGGAGGTTGCGTACCGAAGCGAAGCCACGGGTTTGTTCCTTTCGCCCCTTTAGTTGGAGACGTGGAGTGGCAGCCACGGTAGTGATGGACAACCAGGAGAGGGAACAAGGCGGTGATCCCAATGGTACGAGTGAACGCAGCTCGGGCGGGGGCGGTGGTCCCACTGCTGAGACGCCAGACAAGCCAGACGAGGAGTTGAAGAGTTCCGACGAAAGCAGTCAAAGTGGACGAGGAAGCTACAACGGACGACACACCTGCAGTAGACCAGCCCGATCCTCCGCCCAGTCCCAAACGAAGTCGGGGTACTTTCAGGAGATTTTTTAGCAACTTTCTCAGCTACGACAGGACATCCAGTGATGCAGAGTCAGGTAGAGAGTAGGACTCCATGCATTTCTAATGTTCCCACATGGTATGGGATTTTTTTGCAACGCAGAGAAAATCGACTTCAGTCAGCTCCCAATTGAAAAGAAGAGAAATTACTACAAGTGTGGGAAAGACTATCTGACTCTTTCAGACATCCCACCGTGGTCTGAGGGTTGCAAAAGTAGGCTGGAAAATAATTGTGTTCCGAATTTTATAGATAGTGGATTTTACTGTTAGGTCTTCCACGTCCCAAGATGAAGAAGAGGTCAGAACCACTTGCGTTTAGTGTGGATGATGACCTGAATGGAAAGGTGAAGGAGATGAATTTTCCCCAGCTTTGAAAAGAGCTGAGTTTTCTGCAGGTGTCGCTGTGGAGAGGGGATATAACTAGACTCGAGATTGATGCCATAGTGAATGCAGCCAACTCTAGTCTGCTGGGAGGGGGCGGAGTCGATGGGGCCATCCACTCTGCAGCTGGGAGGGGCCTCCTGCGAGAGTGCAGGACATTGGGAGGCTGCGACGCAGGTGACGCCAAACTGACACAAGGTAAACATGCATGCATGCAATATACTCCTGAGGATACTTTCACTGTTGTTTCCCTCATCCAGGATACCGACTGCCAGCCAAGTGTAAGTGAGGATGACCAGTGCATATATACGTACAACAACAGTAGTTATGTAAGCAGGTTGCTGGCATGGATACGCACAACAGCAGTAGAGATAAAGAGTGGTATATTTTTAAATGTCTTCCTTCAGATGTTCTGCACACTGTCGGACCGATGAACAACAAGAAAGCAGTTCTGGAGAACTGCTACCGACGTTGCTTAGAGTTGGCACTTGTGCACAACATCAGATCTCTTGTATGCAGTGGAAGTGCGTGTAGTACGAAAAATAATTTATTATATTTTATCTTTTGATGTAGGCCTTCCCTTGTATTGCTACTGGAGAGTACGGTGAGTAAGATATTGTTGTATGTGTCATTGTAAAGTGTGACATATTGGCAGGATTTCCTAACAAGAAGGCAGCACAAATAGCTCTGGTGACAACTCGGAAATGGCTGGAAGAGAACAGGGAGAAGGTGTGCATAGTAAAACACCAGCACAAGGAGTATTCTGGGGTACACCTATATACCACTCTGTTTTTTGTTTTCTCAGGTGGACAGAATCATATTCTGTGTTTTCACAGAAACCGACTACAACTACAAACTCTACTGCCGATATCTCCACCATGTCTACCCCATTGAGCCTTCAGTCATTCAGGATTCTCAGGAACGTGGTATATAAGATTATTGCCGTGCACTGTACCTATTCTCAGATTGTTCACTGAGTGTGTTCCACAGTGCCTGCTGCAGCTAGAGAGGACAACAGACCATTAAAGCCGACTATGGTCAAGTCTCTTAGCACTCCACCAACAAGTCGGTTTGAGCCACTACTAATGGTCTTTGGTTCTATGCATCTTTTTTCTAACTATTGAACACCTTAGAGGGTGGTTCCGGAGGGAAATCTACACGAACAGAGTCTGACAGTACCTCGTCTAATCCGACTGGATCAGGAGTACCGATTAATTCCCCGTTGATATCAGTAGAACCCAGCCCCTCAGCTAATGCCCCACCACAGACTGGGGAGATTGGTGAGGGCGGGGAGATTGGTGAAGACGGGGAGGTTGGTGAGGGTGGTGGAGTTAAAATGGAAGTAGAGGAACAAGGAGACAAGGAGGTCAAGTCAGCAGAGAATGTTCCTGGTGGGGGTGAGGAGGAAGAAAAGGAAAAACTGAAGAGTGATGAGGAAAGAAAGGAAAGACGTGAAACTGCTGGAGGTGGTGGTGAAGAGAATAGAGGGGATTCTGATACTTCACACGCAAAGGACCCTGGCTTTGAATCATAAACATCTTCCGTTTTACAATTCACAATAATATTGTACGCTTCACATAAAATTTCCCATTGAATAAGAGAGCAAGTGAAATATATATGAGCAAGTGAAGCAGTCGATCTACATCAGTGGATATGTTCCAGTACTCCTTGTCTGATGAGAGGCTCACACTGAGACCTTGGGAGGTAGTGCTGAGTGTTCTTGTGCAGCAGGACCACTGTCCCGTCCTCCATCTCAAACTCCCCGTAGTCCTCCAGACACCGGACCTCCACCAACAGGCTCTTCGGAGGCTGGAGGTGCTGCGTGAGGTCCAGACCGGTGGGGGCGATGGACCGCATGTACGTCGCCAGTGAGCGGTTGTAGTGCGTGAACCACTGTATCTCCTGCTCGCACAGACTGAGTCTGAAGGAGGGAGGGAGAACGCTGCCCGTCTGCCACCGGTAGTCCCTGATACGAGTCATGCGGTGGTGGACGTAGGCCAGGAGGCATCGCTGGTTCCTCTCCAGACAGGCGTGCCTCAACTGGATACCTGGATAGGATAGAACACACTTTGCATGAATTTGTTCCTACACCGGCAGATTTCTAGGCAAGTGTTTTCGGGCAGGTCTTTGTTCAATGGACCTATTACACTAAGAGGCCTTCTCTTCATTGAAAATTGAGCTGTGTATGTAGGAACCCCTAACAACATGCAACGTGCAGGACCTGAAAGGAGTCCCCTCTCCCCATCAGTGGTGGCGCGGACCTCCAACTGGTTCTGCTCGAAGAGGGCGCGCATCTCCTCCACCACCTGCCTGATGCCGTCCTCGTTGTAGGGGGGCAGGTTTCCGTCTTGAGACCTCTTCAGCTCCCGCACAAGTTCCAGCGCCTTCTCCCCCAAACATCGCGCACCCAAATCCAAAATGTTGACGGTGCGCGTCATTTGGAAATGGTTGGAAATAGTAGGCGTGTCTGCTTGCACAGCAACGGCAGTCGGCAGCGTAGTAAACGCCTCTCACAGCTGAGCTCTCCTGTACCGAGTCTCAGCTCACTCTCCCGTTTAGGTGGTAGAAGCTGATATACATTTGCCGCGTGAGAAAACACTGTGTTTGAGCTTCTCTTCTGGGTGTGTGTGGTGCTACCCGAGCTGCTAGCTAACTGCAAGCTCTAACCTGCTCGAGTTTCTCTGTGCCAGCTGTCGCTGCAACATGGCTCACGAGGTACGTAAGACGAGAACGGGATGGAGGGGGTATTTTTGCATAGTTTTTCTCTTTGCCTGCCGGCCGTCTGCTTTTACATCACCGTGGCACCGTGGCCAGCGCCTTTGGAATCTGGTAGCACATGCGTGGAGACGAATGTGCATTTAGCAATTTGCACATAAGGCGCCAGTCCTGCTAGCCATTCAATTTGACGAGGTACACTATCTATTCCACTTTTGCAGAGAAAATTTCCTCTTGCTCGCATAACAAGACAGCCTGAACCGTCTCAGTCAATCAGCAGGCGGGCAGGAGAAACCGCACCTCCCTCCTCCCCCAACTTCAGTCCCCTGCGTCCCTACTCCACCCCCTCCCCCACCTCCCCGTCGTCACGTTTCTCCCCAGCTGCCACGACCTCACGTGTCCCCAATGCCGACCCCATCCGGAAACCCTCCGCCCTCCTCAAGAGGCCGCCGACTCAGAGCTCCTCTCGCTTCAGACAGAAGAAAGTCCCTCTCAACTACAAACCACTGCCCCTGCTCAAAGGTTCTGGCATTGTTTTCACACCCCATGATTTCTTCCCTTCACTGTTTCCTTCTTTCTCCCCTCTCTGTTACTTTTCTCTTGTCTTCTTCCCTCTTTCCCCCTCTCACCCCCAAACCATCGTCCCCCAGATGCCTCGCCGTCAGAGAAGTCCAACCTTCTCCTGAGGAAGATAGAGCAGTGCTGCTTCATTTTTGACTTTGCGGACCCCATGAGTGACCTGCGGGCCAAGGAGGTGAAGCGAGCAGCTCTCACTGAGATTCTGGACCACATCACAATGGTCTCCGGGGCCCTCATTGCACCGGTCTACCCTGCTCTCATTCAAATGGTACTCTACGCCGTCTCGCTCTACAAGCCTCACGCACCTGGTCAGAGGGACTCAGATGTGAGTACCAGGGTAGGTGTGAGGGGATTGTGCGTGGGATTCTGATGGAGTGGGTGAGAGGGAAGGGCTCAGCCGTGACGTGGAAAACGCTGACCGACACACTGAGGGACTGTGACTGTGCTGCTCTCGCAGACCATATTGCTAGTACCAACTTATGAGAATCTTGTCCCGGTCCCCAGATATCATGCGCATGCGCTGTCATTCAAGCGCCCAGCGATATGCTGCGGAGGTCACGGCTGTTTCACGTAGGACATTTAGCGCTAATTTAGAACATTACGGTATTACCGTTACCTTAGTTACCGTGTACCGAAGCGAAGCCACGGGTTTGTTCCTTTCGCCCCTTTAGTTGGAGACGTGGAGTGGCAGCCACGGTAGTGATGGACAACCAGGAGAGGGAACAAGGCGGTGATCCCAATGGTACGAGTGAACACAGCTCGGGCGGGGGCGGTGGTCCCACTGCTGAGACGCCAGACAAGCCAGAAGTGGAGTTGAAGAGTTCTGAGAAAGTGTCTTCAGCTGCAGGGGTCCACCGGGCAGGAATATTGAGTGGGAGCGAGACGACGCGGGTGACGCTGGACGAGGAGGAGGAAGAGAGGGACGAGGAGAAGACAAAGGGAGCCGAGGACGATGACGAGCCCAATCCTCTTGTGGAGAGTGTGAAGCACAAGTTGCTGGAGCAGGGACACCTTTCGTTGCTGGACGTGGTAGAGAAGATGCCGACCACACTGCACGAGTCGATCGTGACGGACAACGTGTCCCGTTCGTGTCTGGAGACCATTACTGGGAGGGTCCCGGAGCTCCAGTTGGGACACCTGGCACACAGTGACGGAGACTCTAGTCGCGGAGCCATACACTGGTTTGAAGGTAAGGAGGACATATTTACTTTGTACTTCTGAGCCACTGAGTCACCAGAATTTCATTTTATATACCACATTTTGTGTCCAGTAAAATTCAATACTTTTTTTACAGAAAACCGTAGTCGTGATTTGTGCATTTAGTCATGATTGTAACGCTCGGATTTGGATCACATCGTTAAACAATACAAACTATAAATAGAAGGGACTAGATATCATCCTCCCCGGGAAGATTGTACGATGCCTTGGAACCCCCTAAATCCCATATAGGCCGCACTCTTTATTCACAGACACACTGATATCATGGTTTACTTTCCCTGGCTCTCCGGCTAGCCATTATTGTGTCAGAATGGAGTTTCCTGAAAATAGTTTTGAGCTGTATTTGGCATGAGTGTGAGTAGCGTGGAGTGATGATAACAATACACTCTCACTGAAAATGACCGTTTCATCAGCTTTTATTAGCATACAACCCGTCATCCATAATTGTAATGCTGACATAATTGTTGTATTGTAAATGTGTGCATTCTTCACGGAGGATGTAATATGAACCATGACACTTCGCTTTGTTCTTAGTTTGTGTGGGTGAGAATGTATTAAGTAAGAAGAGGATATTGTGTGTTGTTCTACTGATGGTATGTGTACATATTTCGCCTCTTTATTAAATCCATAACTCTATCTCGCCTTTATTTATTATTCCCTGTCGCTACAACATCTCGTCTCTATTTCACTGTCCCTCCACCCATGTACACACCTTATCTTGTTTCACTTGCAGTCAGTGGAGAATGGAATTTCTACGTGTTTCGTTCGGACCAGGAGCCAGACGAGGAGGAGGAGGAAGAGGAGGAGCCGGAGATTCCTCACCGTGTGGACTCTGACCTCTTCATGGACAGGTTTCCCTCCTCCCATCCCTTTGTCTTTCTCTCCCTCACCTTCCTTCCTCCTCCTCCCTTTTTCTCTTCCCCCCTTTCTTCAATCTTCCTCCCTCCCTCCCTCCCATCATGGTTCCAATCTCCTGATCACAGAATACACCAGGAGATGCTTAGTCGCTACGGACTAGATCTTGGAAACCTGTACCCTATGAGTGACGAGAGAGCCCAATATATCATTGATGAGGCTCTGGAGTCCTGCAGTCTTGATATGAGGAATGGTGG